ATAGACCTGTCCTTTCTAAATTTACACAATTTCCGGTTTGCTATGAACTTATGTTCTAACACTATACGCTATGACAGGAAGTCTGTTGGTCTTTTAATAAGATTTTATCAGTTAAAATACGAAAATGACTGTGTGACATGTATTGTGTAACTGTATTATAAAATTAGAAGTTTGTAATCTAATTGCTTAAATGTGGTTATATCTGCATTCCAACGACAGTTCTAACAAACCAAAAGAAAATATATGACATAATATTTACTCTATAAATATTGTGCAACATTCATGAATGAAATTATAGAAGTTACATAGACTTATGGCACACAGCGAAGCAATTGGCTGTTAGTGTTTTATATATTTACGTTGTTATTTAAATGTACCCAGAGAAACAACATTTGTATCACATAGAAAATCAATACGTAAGGACATACCAACTTGTCACACAATCCATCGCGGTACAGTAAAACTCTGGCCGTCAGTTCGAAAAGTTTAAATATAACCGTGCACCAGTATTTCTGTTTCAGCTGATTGAAAAAGTAATACAAAAGGACAACAGCATCAAGAATGCCAAGGAAAGTATTTCAGTTCAAATGCTGATAGCTTGAAGTTCTGAAGCAGTAACCAAAAGCAGTTAATTTCAAAAGCCAATCTGTGTCAAGGAACGGTTATTTTCTGGTCGATACTGCAGGCTGTAACACACTCTTCAGTTTAACAAGAAGACAATCACAATTCTGAGGCTAAATTTCCACTTCCACAACACACCAGCGAAACAATACTAGTCTCTCAATATCTACATAACTTAAAAATTGCTTCTTCGAGTTTAATTAAACGTGTGAAACATACTGTACCAGTGAGAGTGCTAAAAAACTAAAACAAACTATACTCCGTGGCTTTAGTCCGCAAGCGAACTATACCGACCGAGCGACCGCCGATTGTTGGCGAAGTTAGTGCCAACTTTAGCGGATAGAGGGCGTCACGTGATCAGCGCAACGGATCCCCACAGCCGTTAATTTCGGTTTTCTAGACCGGAGCCGCTACTCTTCCTTTCAAGGAGCTCCTCAATTATCCTCACGAGATTGAGTAGACCCCGTTCCAGACCATTACTTCTCAGAAAACTTGGTAGCGCCGGGAATCGAACCCGGAACCCCTGGATCTGTAGCGAGGAACTCTGACCACTAAACCAGAGAGACGGTCGAGAGCGCTATAAAGACAGAAAGGAATATAAAATTTAAAGGAGGAGGCTAATCTAATTTCAGAAGTAGATAAGCATTAATTCACATTTCGTGGATGTACAACATTATTTTACTTGCCTTATATAAATAAATAAATAAATAATCGTATTTCATTTGTGGTCCACGGATTTTGACAACATTTTCAACTTACGACATTAACACTTTGAAGCATGAGATTTATCAAAATAATATTTAATATCGAGTTCGTACCTTGCAGAAATCACACCGCCTCTTCATTAAGAAGATCAACAAGCTAATACTGTTTATCGCGAAGATAATACGAAATATATAACTACACCCTTTAGATAAAATGAAGATTTTTTAATGTTAAAGCAGGCCGTGCTTGTAATAACCACTGGAGAGACCTGAAGCTGTTAGTTGCATTCTAAAACACCCCAATATATTTCTATTGCATAACAAACATATTAATTTCATTCGTAACGCTTCTGCGTGGGATATTGTCGGAAATCAAAACAATGTCGAAACCGAGGGAACTTAAAGGCAATTCAAGAAGAACATCTCTCAAAATAAACCCTGTTAGAGTGAAGCCTTTACAAAATTCTAGACGAATTCATGTTGATGAGAACAGATTCTACCGTGACGTTCGCCCAATGGCAATTATCTGCAAAATCTTGGGGATATTCTCCCTTCAGAATATCACACAGAGCGATGGGCGACTTCTGAAACACAAACTGTTTTCAGTTGATGCTTTGTGGGGCCCAATATTTATTGGCGCAGTGCCAATGCCTTTAATTGAGTACGGCAATGATGAGTTTGGGCGTTACTGGAGAATAATGCAATGTTTAAGGGGTTTCATAACTGTTTCATTAAGCAGCTATTACGACGCTCCTCTGCCAGAGATGATAAGCAAAATGGAGACTTTAGGTGTAGTCCTGAAATCTATTACAATGAAAAATGAAACTCAAAGAAATATTAACAGATACGGCAGAATTTTTTTATATGTGGGAGTTGTTGGATCGATTCTTTTTGTGTCACTGAACACGTTTATCGAACATGTCATTAAACGTGTACCATTCCTGCGGCTAATGGTGCATATGTACGGAACACTGAACCTGATTCCACGCCAAGTATATGTCGTGTTGTATATATTTTTCTGCCACAATATAGTTCTACTATTTCGAGATATACACACCTGCTGGAATGATCACATGAAGAGACTACTCCAAAGGATTAGTGACGTCACATGCTCAGATGAGGATCAGTTAGAAAACATACGTCTGCTACACGTGGACTTACTCAGGGTTACTGCACTTCTCAATAAGGCATACGGCACTAGAATGGCGTTCTACCTGGCAACTATCTTCATTGAGGTCCTGCTAGATTTATATATTTACTTCTTTTATAATAACTACAGTTACATCCAGATGGAATATTACATTTTCAACGCTGTAACATTCTACATGCTTACATCAGAGACTGATAAACTTACAAATGCTGTAAGTACTTCAATACTTTTACATTTAAGTTAAATTTTATATCTCTTTTGAGAAAATATCGTAATGACACTGGATTACAGTAACACAGTGCGCCAATAGAGCGTTGTCGGTACTGGTTGTATTTCTTCTGGAGTGTAAGAACACTTTTAATTATTATAAAATTTTTATATTATGGAATTATGCCACTTATCTGTAATGTAGTCTTACTGATTATAATCCCTATATACATACACATACATAATATTTCATGATAATATGATTTATAAAGCCTCATTTATTGCAGGGAGATCAAATAGCTCTGGATCTCATGAAAACACGTATAACAAAACTGAATTCCGGTTGCCAGAAACAGGTAAGACAAGACTATGTGGGCTAGTGAAATAAAACTAAGAAGTTTTATTTAAGAAAGATGTTAAAACTGGTTTCATTTATAAAATTTGTGTTTAAATAATAATATGAAATAAAAAGAGAAACCGAACAATATCGAAAAATATTCGCGACATATTAGGAATATCCTACCAGCACTAAGTTAGCATTGTATTATCGGTACTGTTAGCAATATCTTATCAACACTGTGTTAGCAATATTTTATGGGTATTCAATTAGCAGTATCTTATCTCTGTTTTTTTCCCTTTGGCGCTACAGCCCCAATTTGGGCCTTGGCATACCTCCATGAAACTCCCCGTTTCACTTCGGCTTACTTGATCTTAGATATTCGGTAGGACTCCTTGGGCGGGTGATCAGCTCGTCGCAAGGACTCCACCTGTATACAATCACAGAAAAACACACATACACAAGCACACAAACACTCAACATCCATGCCCTTAGTGGGATCCGAACCCACGATCCCGGCTTCCGAGCGAGCGAAGACAGTGCATGCCTTAGACCGCTCGGCTAACTCTATGTTAGCAGTATTTTATTGATACTATGTCAGTAATATCTTATTAATACTGTATTAGTAATATCTTGTTGGCTCTATATTAGCGATATCTTAACACTGTGTTAGCAATACTTTAATCGCACTATATCAACAATGTCTTAGCACTGTGTTAGATATATCTTATCGGAATTATATCAACATTGTCTTATTAACATTCTGTTAACAATACCTTGTTGGCACTATGTTAGCGATATCTTATCGGATTCTGTTAGAAATATCTTGTTGGCACTACATTAACAATACCTCTATGACGCTATGCTATCGGTACTATTTTATCATCATTACATCATAGAGCTTTGTTACTGGTCCCTGTCATGAGCTATGTCATTCCTCTTCACAGCCTTAAAACGTATGTGTGTATATATATTGTAACGTGTTTCGTTACAGAAGACGCCGTAGAGATGGTTAATTGGTTTATTTAACAATCTTCAAATAACGGCTACAATTAATTATCACAATATTACGGGTTTCCACACTTTACAAACCCTAGAACAAAATCTCTTAACACTCTCTTCGAGAGTCTTCACGTACTAATAATGCGGGAGCTATACAAGTCTCCCTGAATTACACACTCCAGATATGACTGGTTATCACTGGTTATCGCACACGCGGCTGTAGCTCGTAACTTGCGAACTGAGAAGTCGTTGATAACGCACTCGGCGACTGTCACAGTACAACTGACTGTGAATAGCCTTCGCTGCTCCTTATGTAGCCTCGATCGGACAATACGGCCACGTAATAGGCACCCTTGTTGCCTGGCGCTGTGTTGCTAGNCATTAAGCTCCACAGTTATTATTTTCGGAGTTACGTCAGAGTGATCCAAGAGGTGAGTTCCCTTCAGAGTTTCAGACCAAAGTTTTGTCCTCACTTCTCCATGTGTCACATGACTGACACACCGCAGTGACATCACACACTTCCAGTACAACAGCAGATACTAGCCGCGCACCAATCAACGCTTTGCAATATATACAGTGGGTTTCTTTCTACTCAGGTCCTGACGTTCATGAGACAGTTAAGCGCGAACAGAGCCCAAGCGTCTGCAGCAGGATTCTGTGCCATAAACAAAGGAATAATAGTATCTGTAAGTAACACTGCTCTCATTCTAAACCACTGCACGTATCTCTCAGTAACACCAGTCATCATCATTAAATTCAGGGCACAGAACTTCAGGCCTCTTCCGGCTCAACTGTTTTTCCATCTCTTCCTACGTCTTCCAATGTCCTCTTTTCCCTCTCCCTTCACAGTCCAGGATGCATTTCGGCAATCTATGATCTACTCTCCACATTCCATAACTGTTACTTGTCAGTGTTTCCTGAATTAATGTACATTTGCCTACCCAGGTTCTTAATACGACACTCAAAATTAGGTGCCTCTTTCGCATTTAGCTGTATCATTTCTCCATAGATGACTCCATTATGTACAATTTGAAATGTTATATCACGAAATAAGTACACCGCAAAATTGGGTCCATCGCTGAACCCACTCTGAAGAAGGAGGCAGCACGTTCCTCGAAAAATTGCTGAAGACCTATCAGACTATAGAGAAAGCAAGCTGGCCCAAACGGTAACGCTTTTGACTTGTAAGTCGAAATGCCTGATTCGAATCTCGTCCGGGAAACCGGCTATCCTGAGTACATGCCTTAGTTTCCACCATCCCTCCAGGAGAGAGACAGGAGAGTAACTTAAACAAGTCATGATGTCATCTCCCAACATCCTTCCAAATTCATGATCACAAGCATCACATTCGACCCAATACCGTCTCAGTTACCGGCAGTTGGTTGAGGCACTATGTTACAAGTGGGAAGGTCGCGGGTTCGATTCCCGATAAGGTCATTGGGCTTTTCAATTGACCTAATCCTTCCAGCCGCACTATAACCCTGGGGTCGACTCAGCCTCTAACAGCAATGAGTACCAGGAATCTTCCTTGTGGTAGAGGGCGACCGGCGCCTAAGACTCACAACCTCACCGCCATCTGTAAGCCTATTGTCTCACAACCCTATGCGTCTCCACGGCCTGTTATAGGGATAGTTTCATCTTTTTTAACATTTTCTGTTAAAAAAGACAAACACTACATGGTGCCACATCGCAGAACACAGTAACCTTCACAGTTACCTAAAAAAAATAGTAAAAGTAAAGCTACTCCTGTAACAGGCCGTTAAGGCCCATAGGGTTGTGAGACGTGGAGAGTCCCACATTATCTAGACAATCGGCTCAAAGATGGCGGTAAGTTTGTCAGCCTTACGTGCCGGCCGCGCTTTACCCCCCAGAAAAATTGTTTAATTTATTCCTGGTGCTCATATCTGTTAGAGGCTGACTCGACACCAGGGCCATAGTGCGACTGGATGGATTAGGTCAATTGAAAAAATCCAGTGACCACATCGGGACATGAACCCGCGACCTTCCGGCTTGTAGCATAGTGCCCCAACCAACTACGCTACCGCGTGCCCCACAGTTACCTCAAACCTTACAAATTATGATAATGCTTCTTTTTAACTTTCAGATACTAATAGCTGTCGTAACTTACTTCGTTGTAATCTACCAGCAGGCTTCAGGGTCAGGCTAATCCTGCCTGGGGCATTACTTCTAACCTCGATAATAATGTAATTATAATAACAATTATATACCTCAATATTTTAATAAGTAGTAAATATTATTCATATGTGAGAGACTATTGTGTTCTATTATGTTACTGTTTCGCCTGCATTTTCTAGCCAAAATAAATTCTGTACACAGATGTCAGCACATTCATACAGTCGGGGATTTTGATTGGATTTATTGACCATTTATACACACGACTCAAAAATACAAATAATTATAGAGCCACCGCTAATCTCCAGAATTCACAAATCACCAAACCACCCACTAAACCTTTTCCAGTCTGCTTTGTCTTCACCAGGCCTGTTCTTGCAACGGCTTCTAATAGTGGAGATTCTTAAGCTTCAAGTCCTCTCTGAAAGGCAGCTCCGTTCTAACTGCCCTCGTTTCTCAGGCTCCCGTACAGAACTGACTTGGTTGTCCCAATTTCCTTCCTTATATCTCCACGGAATGAACCGCGTAGAAGACACCGTCTGTAGCAGTACTTCTATTGCTGCAGGGGGAACGTGTTTACCGAGGCCTTGCCTAGAAACTCTCTGGTATATTTACTTATCTCGCAGTCGTTGCACAGTAACGGCTGTACACGCTACAATATGCAGTATATCCCATTCCGTCTACAGTATATCTGACCTCACGACATCTCTTGAGTAGACTACCTCACGTAAGAGAAATCCTGTGTCCTGTATAGAAGATCTTAATGATCTGGACAAACTCAGATGTACTGCTTGTTTCAACAGGAGCTATTGGACATCTAACGATTTGCCCAGGCATGGTTCCAAGTGACCGGCTTTGGGGGAGGGGCCAAGTTGTTCGCTACAGAGCTTTTATGTTTAATTTTCTGTCTGTTATTTTTTATTTTTTTATTGCTAGTGGGGTGGGACTAAGTCCCTTGTACTGCGGCCACTTCTGGCCTATTGTACCAGCCCCAGATGATAGGTTAGGGTGATTGTGGAGCAATTGGTGGAATGAAGATTGGCAGGGGAAACCGAAGTACTCGGAGAAAACCTGCCCCAGCGCCACTTTGTCCACCACAAATCGCACTTGATCGAACCCGGGCCGCCGCGGTGGGAAGCCAGCGACTAACCGCTTGAGCTATGGTGCCAATTTTCTCTCTACCTCATTATCTATTCCACAAACCTATAATCCTCAATGTACTCAGTAAATAATTTCCTCCAGCCTAATATTTAGACCCTGTGCTACAATTCTGGAACCATAAAATACATTCGGTCACCTTCACGGACCAATATGAATGGTACAGAATTAAGAGGACAGGAAAAAGAAAATTCCGTGGCCTGTAGTCCGCAAGCGAACTATATCGACCCAATTTAGTGCCAACTCTTGCGGATAGAGAGTGCGACTTGATCGGCGTAACGGATCCCCACGGCCGTTAATCTCGGTTTTCTAGACCGGAAAGAGGACAAGAAACAGGAGGTATCACTAGGTAGCAGCACAGTCAAGCTTCAAGAGAGTCTGAGTAGCAGACGCACATGCGCATGTTCAGAAGCTGGTTTCAGTAATCAAAATGGTTACCGTGTTTGGGGGAGTGTGTTACTGAAGAGCAGCGTTCTGTTGTGCATTTTCTGTGGGAAAAACGAAGGGAAAGGATATTCATAAATAAATTTTTCCTCTTCACGTTGGGAAGTGTTTGTCGCGTAAAGCGGTTCACACCTGGGCCGAGAAAGTCTGTCAAGGACTTTTGAAATCCGTGGGTGATGTCTGACCGGCTGCTTAAGTGGCTGAGACAACAGACAAAAGACTTCTGTGCTGCGGGTTTCGACATACTGGTAAAGCGAGGGGACAAGTGTATCAATGTCGGTGGGTATGTCGAGATATAAAGTGTTTTTCTTTTCCGCGTTCGGATATCACATTTTACGTTCTATACCCATTTCTGACTTATTTACTAACTCTATCTATCCAAGCATTTGGTTATAAGAACTCTGAAGAATCACAAAACCTGTCAGCATATCCGGTGTCCAGACCTGCATTCGAATCGAAATATCCTCTGCTTAATAATCAGTATATTGATAATAATGTTCCAGCCGGTCACGGAAACGAGCAGTCTAAGTTATGTACTGTCTTCGCTCGCTCGGAAGCTGGGATCGTGGGTTCGGATCCCACACAAGGCATGCATGTTTGGTGTGTGTATGCGTTTATTCTGTGTTTAGGCAGAGGCCTTGCTACGAGCTGATCACCCATCCAAGGAGTCCTACAGTCTGTAAAGTGATCAGTGAAACTGACAAATCAGCCCTATGCTCCAAAGTGGGGAAAAAATAGTGTTTATATTCGGGAAAATTATGATTACAGTATGATAAATATAATTAAATATTCACTCATATACACGCGAGCGAGCACACATGTATATACATACATAATGATCTCATTCATGCTAACATTCTGTTAACATATACAGCAATATGCTTCCTGTCATCGGCAAAGAAGGTTAAAAATCGCCATGAAATATTCTGACATACAATATTGTTTAATAACATCCAGTAGTAGGCAATAAGTCTGTCCTTCCATTTGTTCACTAACTGAAAGTCTTAAATTCCCTGTAAACAAGCTGCCATGCCTATGTAATACATATTCGTTATGTCAGGCTTAGAATATGCCATTCAAATTGTGTTTTTCAAAGAAGTCAATAAATATGGCTGTCACGAGGAGTGGTGAATAACGATGTAAACACATTGTTCTAGGTGTTGTGCGTCTTTAACCCAGTTAAAGACGGTAAGATAGACCAGTCCAAAACGCGTGCTTCTTAGAAGCTGTATCCAAACGTGTTACCTCTGTCAGAAGTATTGAAGTAGATACGAAATTTCAATCAAGAACAGACTCACCTGCACTTCAAGCAGTTGCATAAGATACACTTTCATTTCTAACGGAAAGGAGAACAACTTCCGGTGTTAACTATGGTATTCATGAATGAAATAACACCAGTAACAATCAGTTACATTAATACAATCGAAAGGATGAAAGAAAATCGAAATTCGAGACAAGAAGAAACATTTTACAAGGATCTAAAACCTTTCGCTCTGATCTGCAAATTCGTTGGGATATTCAGCCTTCAAAACGTGTTCGAAAACAACGGACGTTTGCTGAAATACAAGTTATTTTCATTTCATACTTTGTGGGGTCCTTTAATTGTCGGACTCGCAACAATTTTAAACACATATTTCGAAACTGAAAATTTCTTGAGTTATATAGGAATATTTTATATTGCTAGAGGAATTTCAATTGTTCTACTCAGTTCTTACTACGATAAATTTCTACCGAAATTGATCTTCAAAATAGAAGAATTTGATGTAATTATAAAGTCATATTGTAGAAATAATTCTACAAAAAGAAATGTCAACACACATGGAAGGTTAGCTCTCTATGTTGCATGTGTTGGTTATATCATCTTGATGTGCATCAACGTAACGGTCTTGTGCATATTGAATGAGTACACTTTCTCGCACATCGGAAACAGGATATGCGACTCATTCACGTTTTTAACACGACAGCTCCTTGTACTCATGTACATGTACTTCTGCTACAACATAAAATTGACTTTATGTTCTGTTAGTAGCATTTGGCGCCAGAGTGTTAAGAAAGTCATTACAAATGACCCCGAGGAGACAGTACCTCCAGAGGAAAGGTTAGAGGAAATTCGACTGCTACACGCTGAAGTGGTTCAGACTATGGAATACCTCAATGAGGCATATGGATTGAGATTACTCTTCTACGTCACTATATATTGTTTGGAAGTTCTCCTAAGTTTGTACGAATTTTCTAACAGACATGTGCATTTCAAATTATATTTTATTATATACAGTGGTTTAACACTTTATATGGTAACAAAATTCACAGAAGATATTACTATTCAAGTAAGTTTTCAATCCAGAGAATTTGAGGTTTAACAGCGGTAAATATGAACAGTATTAAACTGATGCAGTGTAGTCTGGTAGACGGTGCTGAGTAGAATATTTGGACCGAAGAGAGATGAAGTGACAGGAGGTTGGAGAAAACTGCATAATGAGGAGCTTTATAACTTGTACTCTTCTCCAGGTATAATTAGAATGTTCAAGTCAAGGAGGATGAGGCATCTAGCACGAATGAAGGGGAGAGCAATGCATATAGGACATTGGTGGGAAAGCCAGAAGGAAAGAGACAACTGGGAAGACTAAGGCGTATGTCGCTGGACAATATTAAAATGGATCATAGAGAGATAGGATGGGATGGTATGAATTGGTTTAATTTGGCTCAGGATAGGGACCAGTAGAGGGCTCTTTTTAATACGGTAATGAACCTTCGGGTTCAATAAAATGCTGGGAAATTCTTGAGTAGCTGCAGATTTGGCTTCTCCTCAAGAAGGGCTCAGCTCCATGAGTAAGTAAGTAAGTAAGTGTAGTCTGGTAGAACTTGATGCTATCTTCTTCGACCCTGAAGATGGCAGCAGTACTTTGGAATTCTGGCGGATTACATGGCGACGCATCTCAGAAGAGAGTATCCTTCAAATTTTCAATTCATAAATGATAATAAGGAAATGGTATTACTCCTATAAATACCAAGTTCGACTTTATACTAGTGTCTGTAATGCCAAAGTCGAAAATATCGATGTATACTAACACCGCTATATATGTCGGCATGTGACATCTATCGGTCTCTTTTGAGAACTAAAATCAAGAAAATCTGCAGAGAATTTCTTCAGACATTTGAAGTACTTTGGGAGTGTTCATATAACCATGAAAGATGGACTGGTCTAAGAATACAAGCTAGCGATTTGTCACTTCGGAATAGAAACTAGCGCTTCTAGGGTCAATATGACATTGTGAGTTTATCATCTCCTGACATGTGACGCTATGTATTGCAACATAATTATACCAACGAGTCGGAGGAAGATAAGCCATTAATTATCAGGATCGAAAAATAATTCTAGTCGCGTAATCGCCTACATTTTCAGCCCTGATGATAGAGGCACCATAATGCCCTAAATCATCGATAAGCTTCTACCAGATTACGCAGTTTATGTCTCAGAGAATATTACTGTTTTAACGAGAGGTTCATGTTTTCCTTTTCTGGTAAATTTATAAAATTTACAATCTGAACAGGACACAATGTAAGATTTGAGGTTTTCACGGCGGTGACTATGAAGAATGTCGTCTTCTGGGATGTGGTGCCGTGTAGATCATTATGTGAACCGACGTTTGGGGGAACGTTTCGCCTCCATCTGCAGCCACCTGCTCACGCTGGTTCCTCTCTACCGGACTCTTTAAACCCTGAAGATGGAGGTGATACGTACCTCCGAAACGCCGATTTACACACTATGCGACGTCACATCCAAGAAGACGGCATTCTTCTTGAACAAAACACAATTTCCAGAACAAATAGTTCTGAATAAGATAAAGAAAACAAGACTCCATATAAAATGATTTTCCTCAGTAACTGTGTTACTAGTAGGCCATGTTATGTAACATAATTCATTTCAGGGTAATGCAATGGCGGACGATGTAGCAGAAGTACCACTTGGATCACTAACTGAAGAATGTCAACAACAGGTAAATAAAGAGTTATGTTTTCTGGGATATACCAGTGTGTAGTGTGGTGAAAGTAAGCTGACGTTTCGGAGGAACATATGGCTGAAGCTGTATTTGCTGCCTGAGACAAGTACTTTCCTTCAGTCCCTCCATTCGAGTGTCAGGATAATGCTTTTAATTAGTCCACGGCCCTTTCCTTCTATACACTTTTCAATTTAACATGTGTTAATCATCCAATAATTCGACTCTATATAGTCTGAGCTGCTCATAGCGTCGTTAAATAAACAACTGTGATATCAGTGATAATATTTACTGCCTTTTAGGTTCAGATGTTCCTTAGTCAAATTATGGCGAAGAAACTCCAAGTGTCTGCATCCGGTTTGTGTATCATCAACAAGCGACTAATCATATCTGTAAGTGTAAATTGTTGCTATTTTCTTTTCCTATAAAGTTCGTCGATTTCCCGAAAGAGCTCACTGCATCAAACAGAACCGAACTTCGTATTCACTGTTTCAATCCTTCTCTTTCTAAAACATCAAGATGACAAACAAGCAATTCAATGATTAAAATGACAATTGATATGCAACTCAATAGCTCAGACTGATGCATTGTACGTCTGATGATAACCCGTGAAAGGGTCGAAACATATTGCGTCTCTAATAAACATAATAAAAGCAAATGTTGATGCAGTAGTGTCTTCGTTGTTCTGAATATTAATTGTTGTCGTGTAGACGGTATATCCTCTACTTTATATATCTCAATTAATAATACCTCTAAAAAACAAATTAATTAACGTTAAAAGAGCCAAAGGTCGAAATTTTCGACGTTTAGAAAATAGCCACATATGAAAGCAAGTGACATCTGTTGGCATTTTATCCGAACTTCATAGTCAAGAAATATTTGGGAGTATTTTCTTTACGTATAAACACAACAAAATGAAAATATTGACAAATTAAATTTGTATTCCAGATTGTTATGGGAGTTACCACGTTCTTCATAGCAATCTATCAGATGAGTCAGGAATCTTAAGTTATCGTTACAAAGTGAATACTTTGGCTGTTTGTTAAACGTAGACAGAAACAAGATCTTATCATTAAATGTTCTACAACCTGACTATTGTAATCCTTTAATTATAGTGTGATAAATATGTTGTGCTGTGTACAAAATATCAAATTATTCACAATATAACACCTAAGAAACACTGATATCCCTTCACTCATGGATATGACGCCGTGTAGTTTGGTAGATAAGTAAGAATGTCTCGGAGAGACCCTTTACCTCTGTACTTAGGGTATAATCCCTCGAGTTTAGTAAAGCTGAGGTCAGCATGTTCCTCTAAAACGACACCTATCGACCAAACTGCACGGCGGTACATATCAGTGTGCAGTCATCTGAACACTCACGACCGTGAAATCATTTAAATCTCCTTCCGTTCTTAAAGTACAACTGTTGCAATGAAAAGAGGAGTTCTGTGCGCTTGCGCGAAGGTTCATATTCGTTTTACGTTTATTCCACGGACATTCTGAACAGAGTATAGTGCCTTGTTATAAGCTTCGGTCTGTGATGTCATGCATAACACGAACAAATGTATTGGCACGTAAAATGCTTCAGGTGCTAATGAGCCTGACAACATTTCAATAACAATTAGGGCAATGTCGTTAGAGTAGCCGCAACTACTGATGTGTTCGTTAGTGTCGTGCTACCCGCATGACACAGCAATTAATCACTTTGTGTTACCACTTCATGCATATAAAGATAACGCGTACCCTGGTAACATGACATTTCGAACAAGAAATGGTGAAATCTATGTATTACAAAAAGTCTGTTAGTTAGCTAACTCCGTCAAAAAGAATTTTTGAATTCAGAATGTTTTTCATCATCAGACTCAAAACAAAAATATTACCTTACTTACTTACTTGCTTACTTACTTACTTACTTACTCATGGAGCTGAACCCTTCTGGAGGAGCCGCCAAATCTGCAGCTACTCACGAATTTCCCAGAATTTTATGGAACCCGAAGGTTCATTGCCGTGTTCACAAGAGCCTTCCACTGGTCCCTGTCCTGAGCCAGATCAATCCAATCCATACCATCCCATCCCAGCTCTCTAAGATCCATTTTAATATCGTCCACCAACCTACGCCTTGGTCTTCCAAGTAGTATCTTTCCTTCTGGCTTTCCCACCAATATCCTATACGCATTCCTCGTCTCCCCCATTCGTGCTACATGCCCTGCCCACCTCATCCTCCTTGGCTTGATCATTCTAATTATACTTGGAGAAGAGTACAAGTTATGAAGCTCCTCATTGTGCAGTACAAAAATATTACCTACATTTCTAAATTACAAACCTCAACCTCTGTAAACTGAATGTGGTTCCCCCCCCCCTTTGGCACTACAGCCCCAGTGGGCCTAGGCCTACCTCCATGAACTTCTCCGTTCACTTCGGTTCTGAATGTGGTTTAATAACAATTAAACTCTAAACGTCAATACAAAGAACGAGAAAACAATAACAAATACAAGACTATAGGCAGAGTTTTTTGACTTGCCTCTTGCCTGCGCGTGAGGAGAAACAGGGCTCGAAGAAGCAGGCTTGTGTTCTCGTCCGAATTGCAAGGGGGGGGGGTAAAGTGACGCACTGGAACTATCTATCCATCCATCCGTCCATGGTACAAAATTATGTTTCAGAGTAACTTCCCCGGCCATCTTGATGTTAAAAGATGGAGGTAGCACGTGCTTCTGAACGCTGGTATCTACCTGCATCTACGTGTATGTACGAAGCTAGATGGCGTTAATATTCACCGCTGTGAGAACCTGAACTTCTACAAATTAATTTAATATTCATATTAGTTGCGACCTTGTGCGTCTGAATCATGTGGCTGAGCACGCTGTAACTGACAATTTCGAGGTACATGCCGTCTCTGTGTTCAGGATGAGTAGGTTCAGTGAGTGTTCAGGTTCAGTCCAAGAGATCTGAAGGTTCCCAGACCGATCAGAGGGTAAAATATAGCCATGAGCACCTTGGGGCTCACTGTGCTGGCGAGGACTATTGATCACTGGGGGAACGGTGGGGACTGGAGCCCCCTCAGGAGCAACAGAGAGAGAGGATAAGATATTGCTTCCAAAAGTGGCCTTTTAATGGGCCACCAAATGCATCGTCTACAAATATGAATATAGGAAAGAGACGCCATGTTTGTTCAGAAGAAAGAACGCGACTTAAACGGAACGTAATGCGTTCGATTATGGGAAACACTAAGAACGCAACGCGATTAAAAGCATCTCAGAGACTTTCCACGTTCGTCTGACTATTCGCATTGATTTCTGCGCGCTGCATTCCCAAAACCATTTTCTCTTCCGTGCACGACGGCAAAAAGAACGAAGGCCCATGTGGTCTCAGCACCCCCCCCACACACACTCCTGTTATTCAACCGCTGACGTAGTTCCCGAGTTCAGACTTCATGTTCCGAGCGACCATACTAAGCTGCTTCCGGAGTCTGCCCATGAGGTCCACGGTACTGGAAGACCGCTCACGGGCTACCACTGCGCGACATGTGTGAGAGACCTGAAGCTCAAGAACATCTGTCGCGCGGACCTAACTTACATCCAGCTAGCGTTCAGCTCGTGAGAAACCAAGATAAAACGAAAAAATATCATCCCTTAACCTTAAATATCAACTACGTACATATCTTTGTTGTTACCTCTTCCACTCGTAACAGAATTCTGTACTTATTTTTTTTTTTTGGAACTTATTTATTAACAATCAGAATTACGTACATTCTATAGGTTAATGGTTTCGCTAAAGACTATTACATGTCATGCGAGGAAAATGTCCATCGACATTACCTCTTCAGAAATTGATTTGTTTTATATCAGGTCATTTGTCCATTTCCTTTTTGAAAACAATAGTTTTTGTTAGGGATTAGTGTTCTGGTTTAGATGCGACACCCTTTTCTATGTAACCCTTAAAAAGGAGTGATCTTATCATCTGTTCTCCACTGTTCGCCTCAATCACTTACAAATGACAAGACAGTAAGGTAGACGCTTATGTTTCGCCAGGTATGAATATGTTTCATGTGAGATGTTATCCAGCAGCCGTGAAAATGAAATCCGGAGAGTTACCAACTAGTGGTCCGAGGAACATATACCAGTCTAGAAGGAATCCAAGAGCAATAATTCCACTCCTGATCTAATATTTTTGATTCCATTTGTCTGTTCCTATACATGTATACACAATCACTAACATCAACTCCAAGGATCATAATTTTTTCTGAAAAGATACCAGTTGCATAGCTGCTCGAGAAATATGCTTCCCTTTAATGAAAACCTAAGTCATGTTCCCTTCTTTACAGCAGCCCGCCACTGGTCCCTATTTATTCAACTCTATCTATGGCTCTACATACTTTTTGGGGTCCTGGTCGCTTTTCAGTCGGTGAGACACCTTATACGGGAGATCAGCCCGTCGCAAGGCCTCTACCTATACACAGAAAAACTCAAACAGACTAAATGATTTGTTTTCCAACTTGTGCCAGTTTTGGGGGAACCAAATGACTATTATGACGCCCTCATAAGAAGTCCTAAATTTCTTTCGAAGTGTAAGATTGCTGAAGGGTCAAATAAAAAGAGGAGACACAAAATAGATCATTGAAGGTCGCAGTGCAAGGGCCAGAAAGACCATCCCTTATGCATTCATTCATTCATCCGCTTTCCAAAGCCTGTACTAACAATGGACTTGTATATAGTACAACAGTAAGAATTTTCAATAACATGCTGTATATCCTACATGCAGACCTGACGGAAAGCCAAGCATATTCATGAGAGACAAACCCACCTTCTCGTCAGAGAGACTGTTACATAAGATTATGATCACAAAGGTTCTGTTGAAGAAAAATCTGTAGTCGTGAATCTCAAGGGTCTTGGTGTTAAGACGAACTGATTGACGGTAAACCGCCAGTAGTAAAGTAACTCTGACTTTGACTTCGACCCGGAGTGAATTCAGTTAGTCAGTAGAGTTAATAAATGAGTTAGTCGGTGAGTGAGTTAGTCAGATAACTGCTGTGGCTCAGTTCCTGTGGACAGCTGGTAGCTGATGCGGGGAACAGTTCGGGAATCCAAAAGAAAGGAAACATCCGCCATTGTAGCCGCTACTAAGCAACGGCAGTGAAGACGTGACTGTGGGCACTAGAGTGTGTGTGTGTGTGTGTGTGTGTAATAGTAAACTGTAAAGTGTAGCCACAAATTGATTAAGAGTCTAACAAATCCGATTACTAACCCAAATCGCGTCTACAGCCACACTAAAAATCGTAACAACATGTAAGAACTTCATATATAGAAATTCCATAAAGCCGTAATCTGCCAATCAACTGACTCCGAAATCAATTTATACACCATACCTTGAATTTAATCATAAAATAAAACATTACAGCTGGTTTCCAAACTCGGCGTACCGGGTTCAGTCCTATGTCATACCGTGTAATATCTGCGATGGATAAGTGGCAATGCTGCAGCGTTTCTCAAATACTTCGGTGAAGTAAAAAGGTAAAGTAGATACACGTACTATAGGCTTCTGACGATGGTGTATAACACACAGAGATACTGGGTTTTCGGACTTTGTGCATCTTTCGGATTCTAAATAACTAAGAAAAACACGACGTTTCGGAAACTGGATCTGTTTCGGTCCTCAGGTGAGGGAAGACACCTACTCTGTTGGGTCCCCTAGAAAGAGCCAGCCTCAATCACTGGACAGGGTGTCTTCCTTCACCTGAGGACGGAAACGTCGTATTTTTTCTTAGTTATTTAGAATCCGGACGATGCACAAAGTCCGAAAACCCAGTGTCCCTGTACAAAATGGTAAAGCTATCACTGTATCAGGCCGTGGAGGTCAATAGGTTTGTGAGATATTGAGGCTCCCACATTTTCTAGACAATCGTCTCACAGATGGCGGTAAGGTTGTCAGCTTTACGCGCCGGCCGCCTTTTGCCGCGCAGGAATATTCCTGGTACCCATTTCCGTTAGAGGCTGAGTCGACCCCAGGGGCCATAGTGCAGCTGGAAGGATTAGGTACAAAACTGAAAAACTCCACATCGTCGGGATTCGATCTCGCGACCTTCCGGCTTGTAGCATAGTGCCTCAATCAAGTACGCTACCGCGTGCCCCCTA